ACAGGCAGGCCGCCTTGCTTTCATAGAAGGCTTCACGTAGGCTTCCGAAGCCGCCTCGTCGTGTTGCTGCAGCCGCTCTCGGAGAAGCAGGGTTGCATACCAGATGTCGAGAGTCAGCCCACACAGGCAGGCCGCCTTGCTTTCAGAGAAGGCTTCACATAGGCTTCCGAAGCCGCCTCGTCGTGTTGCTGCAGCCGTTCTCGGAGAAGCAGGGTTGCATACCAGATGTCGAGAGTCAGCCCACACAGGCAGGCCGCCTTGCTTTCAGAGAAGGCTTCACGTAGGCTTCCGAAGCCGTCTCGTCGTGTTGCTGCAGCCGTTCTCGGAGAGGCAGGGTTGCATACAGATGTCGAGAGTCAGCCCACACAGGCAGGCCGCCTTGTTTTTGGAGAACTCTTCAAGTGGGCCTCCGAAGCTGCCTCGTCGTGTTGCTGCAGCCGTTCTCGGAGAGGCAGGGTTGCACACCAGATGTCGAGAGTCAGCCCACACAGACAGGCCGCCTTGCTTTCAGAGAAGGCTTCACGTAGGCTTCCGAAGCCGTCTCGTCGTGTTGCTGCAGCCGTTCTCGGAGAGGCAGGGTTGCATACAGATGTCGAGAGTCAGCCCACACAGACAGGCCGCCTTGCTTTCAGAGAAGGCTTCACATAGGCTTCCGAAGCAGCCTCGTCGTGTTGCTGCAGCCGTTCTCGGAGAGGCAGGGTTGCATACCAGATGTCGAGAGTCAGCCCACACAGGCAGGCCGCCTTGCTTTCAGAGAAGGTTTCACGTAGGCTTCCAAAGCCGCCTCGTCGTGTTGCTGCAGCCGCTCTCGGAGAGGCAGGGTTGCATACCAGATGTCGAGAGTCAGCCCACACAGGCAGGCCGCCTTGCTTTCAGAGAAGGCTTCACGTAGGCTTCCGAAGCTGCCTCGTCGTGTTGCTGCAGCCGCTCTCGGAGAGGCAGGGTTGCATACCAGATGTCGAGAGTCAGCCAACACAGGCAGGCCGCCTTGTTTTCGGAGAACTCTTCAAGTGGGCCTCCGAAGCCGCCTCGTCGTGTTGCTGCAGCCGCTCTCGGAGAGGCAGGGTTGCATACCAGATGTCGAGAGTCAGCCCACACAGGCAAGCCGCCTTGCTTTCAGAGAAGGCTTCACGTAGGCTTCCGAAGCCGCCTCGTCGTGTTGCTGCAGCCGCTCTCGGAGAGGCAGGGTTGCATACCAGATGTCGAGAGTCAGCCAACACAGGCAGGCCGCCTTGTTTTCAGAGAACGCTTCAAGTGGGCCTCCGAAGCCGCCTCGTCGTGTTGCTGCAGCAGTTCTCGGAGAGGCAGGGTTGCATACCAGGTGTCGAGAGTCAGCCCACACAGGCAGGCCGCCTTGCTTTCAGAGAAGGCTTCACGTAGGCTTCCGAAACCGCCTCGTCGTGTTGCTGCAGCCGCTCTCGGAGAGGCAGGGTTGCATACCAGATGTCGAGAGTCAGCCCACACAGGCAGGCCGCCTTGCTTTCAGAGAACTCTTCAGGTGGGCCTCCGAAGCCGCCTCGTCGTGTTGCTGCAGCAGTTCTCGGAGAGGCAGGGTTGCATACCAGATGTCGAGAGTCAGCCAACACAGGCAGGCCGCCTTGTTTTCGGAGAACTCTTCAAGTGGGCCTCCGAAGCCGCCTTGTCGTGTTGCTGCAGCAGTTCTCGGAGATGCAGGGTTGCATACCAGATGTTGAGAGTCAGCCCACACAGGCAGGCCGCCTTGCTTTCAGAGAACTCTTCAAGTGGGCCTCCGAAGCCGCCTCGTCGTGTTGCTGCAGCCGTTCTCGGAGAGGCAGGGTTGCATACCAGATGTCGAGAGTCAGCCAACACAGGCAGGCCGCCTTGTTTTCGGAGAACTCTTCAAGTGGGCCTCCGAAGCCACCTCGTCGTGTTGCTGCAGCAGTTCTCGGAGAGGCAGGGTTGCATACCAGATGTCGAGTGTCAGCCCATACAGGCAGGCCGCCTTGTTTTCAGAGAACGCTTCAAGTGGGCTTCCGAAGCCGCCTCGTCGTGTTGCTGCAGCCGTTTTCGGAGAGGCAGGGTTGCATACCAGATCTCGGGAGTCAGCCCACACAGGCAGGCCGCCTTATACGCAGAGAAGGCTTCACGTGGGCCTCCAGCAGTTCCCGGAGAGCACAATGGAAGAAATACTTTGCCACACTGCTTACATATTAAGTGGCTCCACACCTGGAATGTGTGGCTGGCCTGATCCAGAGACAACTTCATCGCAGCTTTCATCTTCATAGGAGTCGTCGCTGACATCTCCGGCATTGATTTCGATGATGATTGGTGCAACCTCTCTGTCCGACAGGCTGTCATTCTCCCAGAACTGCTTTTCCATCTTCTTAACATGCTGTATAGCAGCGGTCCAGTTGTCTTTCGTGACATTCTTGATTGCCTGCTCTAGAAGCACCTTCACATCTTTTAGTTTGAAAGACGAGTTGCTTCGTGCAACCTCATTCTTCACTTGCCCCCAGATAAGCTCAATGGGATTCAGCTCACAATGATAAGGGGGCAGCCTAAGAACCGTGCACCCAACAGTTTCAGCACGTGTGTCCACTCGGTAGCTGAGGAACTTGTGTCGCACTTGGGAGACTAAAGAAATTAGTTCCACCTTGAGCATGTCTTTGTCCCAGCCAATTCCCTTTGAGCTTAGCCATTCTTGGATGACACTCTTGGTTGAAGATTTCGTGGGGACACACTCCACGCGTCTTGAGTGGTAGGAAGCGTTATCCATTACAATAACGCTTCCTGGCTCTACCTTGGTCAGGAACAAGTCAAACCAATGTTCAAACCTGTTGCCATCCATCTCGTCGTGGTAATCGCCCGACTTCACTCCATGAAAAATGTCGAGGCAACCTTCCACAAAGCCTTGGTCACCCCCAACGTGAGTGACAATCAGTCTGCTGCCTTTGCCAGATGGATTTTTGAGACCGGTGCTGAGGCCGCGATTTCCTGCGTCTCTGGCAGAACGCACCGTCGTGTCGACCCAGATCTTGTTGATGGTGTGTCCGGCGTTGACCCACGTTTCGTCGAGATAATAGATCGCCTTACCCTCTGCTCGAAACTTCAGGATTGAGCGGAGGTACTTCGCACGCCACACAAGGATGTCGTCCTTCTCAATGAGAAGAGAGTTGCGACTCCTCTTCTGCAGCTCGAACCCAATGTCATGCAAAAGACGGTACACAGTCGATGGACTCGGTTCCACGGCGACCTCATCATCCTTCAGCGCTTCAATGAGGGCTTCGCGTATCTTCGTGACGGTCGGGGTTTCGTTCCTTCGAAAGAAGCCGTGCACGCAGGACCGCAACGCAGACAGCACAAAAGAGTCGTACTGGACCAGGCGACGACGGGTGCCAACCGACTTTGGGCGCTTACCAGTTGGAGTTCGAAGGAGCCCGGAATTCGTGATGGCTTCCTTCTTTATGGCAACAACTGTCCGTGCTCCGACGCCAGTATACTCAGACGTCAGCTGGTATAAGTCGTTCCTCAACCTGTCCGGGTATTGTTCTCGCAGCTTGGCGTACACGGAAAGAACCATCTGCTTGCAATCGCTCGAGAGCTTGCGTCCTTGCCGATGCTTCTTCCACAAATTTATAGGTGTCGTGGCGGCTGGCTTACGTCTCGACGGCGGTGGAGATGGAGCCATGGACACTACCTCAACGATATCCACAAAGGAAATACGCTGAATAATAAAACAGAACGATAAAGTTGTAAAAAATATCTGAACACGCAGAAGAAGAACGCAATCGGGCCGAGCGCGTCGAGCATTCGATTCCCCGACTACAACAACAACATGACGTCACCGAGTTAACCGGACGCGTTCGTAAATTCAACAGAAGTAAAGAAATAGACACTCAGGCTGCAAGTCTTGCGCCGTTTAAGTGGACAGTTTGACGGTACAATTGTTTTATTTGAGAGAAGATGTTAGCCAAGTCGGGAGTGCTGTATTTATTAAGAAAGCAATTCTGTTTGTGAACGACTCACTCTTCCGTGAACAAACGAACGCAGTCAGTAGGGCCTCAGTCACCACGCAGCGACTGCGTGCGATTCGTATTTTAAAAAGAATCACACCAATAAATTTGGACATATGAAAAATTATAGCTCAAAACGTGCTACATAATAAGCCCTATTTAAGATGATTGGATTATCACGATTACGACGCTCGTATAGAACTTTTTCTTTGTAGACACTTTTTTGTTTATATTTGATTCAAAAATGGCGGAGGAGCGCTTCGTGGTGGTGCGACGGTGACTGGCCAATGCGCGGCCTGTAGAGGTGGAGCCTCCGGTGCACAAGTTGGGGTGAAAAAGAGTATAGGAATTTGATTCGCGAATTGAATTATTCGGGAACTTGCTATTCGATTCGAATTCGTATATATGAGTATTCGCACACCCCTAGTTTTTATATCTCGAGGAACCTTCATCTCCCTTGATTGCTAGTGGAGTAAACCTTTCCAGTCCTCGCATTAATACAATAAAGAAATGCAGAAGCCTACAGACCTTGAAAACGGTAGTGCGCATACTGGTGAGTGTCTGGCGCATTGTTACGCATCTGCGAATGCCTCAGATACAATATACTGTAAACTACCGCGGAAGCGCCCACTTTGTTCAAGTATCTATTATATTAACATTTCCCAAACTTTGGAATTCTGCTAATTATATGTTAAGCGTCCGATTTGACAGGATGAGCGCCCCCGTCTTGATTAACCCAACTTTCAGTGAACGTGGGGTGGGTGCTCGCTTGGTATTTTACGGTGGTGATGAAACTGGAGAGATGCTTTGGTTGGGGGCAAGGGATCTCTCCGGTTTGGTTTAAGGAAATTCGGGAGCCTGGGAAACCCATCAGAATAGTCCGGGGAACCCCTGAGATCCTAGGAACCCAGTTTGAGAAGTCGTCCATTCAGTTTATTTTCCGGTTGAGCTTGGCGTTTCTTGTAAGCCTCCTCATAAGTGTGGCCTCGGGGTTATACATGGCGGGTACCTCTTCTCGACTCGTAGGTGAAAGCTGCACTGACGAGGGCCCTCAACAAGGAAGGCTTCATGACCCCCTATGCTACCGATGACATGGTCAAGAAGAAGGGGAAGAGGGGGTCGTCCAAAACAGCTAAAGGGACTGCAGAGCCGGAGGAAGAAGACAACTATGCGGAAGAGGAGGATCCCGACCCGACTCTTGTGGATTATGACTAGAAATGTTGCGAACCACCAGTGCTTGCTCGTTACTCTTGAGGTGGTTGTAGCTGAAATTGTGTCATAAGGACTGTCCTTCTGATTTTCTGTTTTATTTGCATCCTTTGTTTGTATAAAATGAAGGTAATAGCGAAATCCTTGTGTGGAAAGCGAACTGAACAAACACCAACTTGCATTTATTAGTGAGAACTGTATGTTCACACATGTGACTGCATTTATTTTTTGTTATTTCATTGTTGAGTATGTTGATTGAAGAATGATGGCTAATTGAAACAAATGAGGTTGACAAATTTCTTAATTTATGTTCAAGCTCAGTTTTCTTTTGTATTTTAAGACACCTACCAAAACAATGATACCACAATAACTTTTTGTCTGGCTTGTTTTTCCTATTTCTAGATGCTACTACTTTACTGCATAATTCAGTATAGGCAAGGCAGTTGTAAGTGTACAGCTGCAACGGAAAAAGAGTAGCACAAGTGACCGATGACCGGAGCGGCAAAATCGCGACACGTGGCGCTCTTGTTCCCAAGCGTGCCGATAGCGAGAGTGCCAGTCACGTTGCATGTCTCAACGCGGGGGTGGCCGGCAGAAAATTGAGAGATAAGATAGCTGTTCAAATGAGGGCTTTAAGATGGGCTGTTTTTTGCCGGCCACCCCGCCGTTGAGACATGGAACGTGACTGGCACTCTCGCTATCGGCGCGCTCGGGAACAATAGCGCCGCGTGTCGCGATTTTGCCGCTCCGGTCGTCGGTCACTTGTGCTACTCTTTTTCCGTTGCAGCTGTACCTGCCAATCAATTGGGCCCTGCCAGCTAATAAAATGGAGCCAGGGGACGTGTTTTTGCACATTGGAGTTTCTTTTCTCCAGGACTACCATTTGTCCTTGCAACTCTTAGAATCGAGTATGAGCTTATTGGACGAAAGGGTACAGATTCGTCTGGTGTCGCACCAGGCTCGAGGAGGAGGAGGAAAGAAGGAGGGAGAATGGGGAAAGAAGGAAGGTGAGGAGGAATAGAGAGAAAAGAGGAGGAAACTGGGGAAAGGCCCCCCGGAAAGTTTGTCGTGAAAAAAAAAAGGGGGGGGGGCATGCGGTTGGGGACGTCCCCCACCGATTTGTTGTGGGGAAGCAGACGATTTGAATGTTTGACTAAACGCTGGTCGCTTACTGTTATAGATAATTAATAGCGTTAATATTTTTAATACCCTCGGCTCAGTGCACCGTGGTGATTTGTAAGCGGAATAGGAACAGCCCCATTCAAATAAGTTTGGAAAACAAATTTTTACCCAGGATTGACCCAGTGCCGAAAATAACTAATTTACGTTCTGAAATAAAATTAAAAAAAAAAAACACCTAAATTCCAAATGCTAAGAAAGCAACCATACGAAATCAAAACCATTAATCTAGTAGGTTCTTGAGAACACAAGAAATAGGCCCAATTATCTGTAACAGTACCCAAAAAAAATCGACGGGGGAACGTCCCCAACCGCATGCCCCCCCTTTTTTTTCTTTTCTTTTTTTTCACAACAAACTTTTTGGGGGCTCTTTCCCAGTTTCCTCCTCACTTCCTCCTCTTCTCTCTCTATTCCTCCTCTCCTTCCTTCTTTCCTCCCCTACCTCCTTCTTTCCTCCTCCTCCTCGAGCCTGGTGCGATGCCAGACGAATCAAAGCTCACCCATTTTCTCCCTAACCCAGCCATATGCTCATCTTTTTCATAACACCTTGGGACAAGATTTTTCCAAGCGAAAAGTTGTTTTGTTTATATGGATCTTGATATGGTTCCAATTTAATGTATGTAGGGACCCATGTGTCTGACCAGAAGAATATGTCAAATTTTACCTCTGTTCTTATATGTGTAGCATGAAAATAGTGGTGAATTTTGTGGGAGCCCTTTGTGAGTGGTAATGATGGCACTGTTGGGCCCATATTAGAGGATGAAAAACTTGAGCAGTGAGTGCACACAAGAAAATATTTTAAGAAACATGCGAGTGGCTGCTGGATAGGTGTCTCTCCCTGCTGAAATTAATTTAAAAGCATAGCCCCAATGTGTACAACTCTGCTCACTGATGACTGTGGGAACACTGCAGAGAGGCTGCAATGAGGGAAAAAAGGCAAATTTGTCATTTAGGTGAGGTCAACTTTGGGGATAGGACCTTATGAGTAGGGTTCCGTGTTTTCTGTATATACCGATTTTGGTATATACCGAGAACTTCAAGGGCGGTTCAAATTCGGTCTATATACCGAATTTGAACCGTCCTTGAAGGAAAAAGAGAACGCAAGCTTAATGGAAAAAAATCTAACCTACTTTCTTTTTTTCTCATTGACCCGGAACAGAGCGGCACTTTTCCGGTTCCTTGGAGTTGCTTTTTCTATCAAAAGGCGGAATTTTTCGGTTGCGCACCAGTCACCTAGTTGTGTTTGGAGATTTGTGTTTGTCCTTTGTCCCTCTTGTCCTCCAGGGATTATTTTCGTCATTCTTGTCCAGCTCGCTTGCACCTTTGCATTTAATTGCATTATAATTCAAAACACATTCCTTTTTTTTTTTTTTAATAACTTCTGCAGGACGGGAAGAGTGAATGTGTGCAGAACCATTTGGACCAGCTAGAGAGACAGTCGGCACACCGGCGACGGGCGAATTCAGCGGAAAACGGAAAAATGCACATTAGTCTCCTCAGGTGGGAGAGGGAAAAAAGGCACCCTTTGCGGGATTTTTGAGGGAGAGAATACAACAAAAGCAACTGCCTCTTTAGCTTCTCTGTCCTTTTGTAGGGTTCCCGAAAAGCAATAAGCGTGAAACCCCCCCCCCTTCCCCCCCCCCCCCCCCCCCCCCACCCTCCGGCACAAGATCTCCGAGGAGGGTGGACTGCCTTCCTCTGACTGGCTACTGCAAAAATCATCCCGTTTCAGCCGGAATTTCCGGACCGGGAAAACGTCACCGCCGATGTCACAGGGGACGTCACTTTTCTCGGATTTCCCCGGGAGACACTTTGCGGGCTGGTTTGGGCCCACTGATCGTGCCCTGTTTTCTTTGGCGTCCGGAAGGCGAGCCCCCGTCCATTTGGCGACCGCTCCTGGTCAGTCGAGATTCGGGTGCCTGTCGGCATGGGCAGCAAGTATTTAAAGAAATGCTGAACCGAAATCTGGATTCCACAAAACACGTGGCAAAAGCGTGCAATGGGAGGCTATAAACACTAAAACGTCACTCGTACAGCGATATCTCGAATGGATGACCGTATTTTTCAAAAAGAGGAGGCGCATTTGAGAGGTATGTTGACGTCTTGTTCTCCGAGAGAGAGAGGGAACGGCCTTGTGTCTTCTCCGCCTCGAGGGGGTGAAACGAAGAGAGGAGGAAACGAGATATGTTGGACGTCACGCGCATCGTCGGCCTCCTTCAATCTCGACCTCTCTTTCTAAAAATAGGGCTGTCCATTCGAGATAACGCTTAACGAGTAGTGTTGTAGGGATTGTAGCGTCCAGCCTACAGCTCGTGCATTGTTTTCTGAAATCCAAATTTCGGTTCACCATCTTTTTAAAAGGGCGAGCGCTAGTTTTTATTAAAAAGAAAATGAAACAAATCGAAGGTCGAAGTGCCTCTCAACTCTCCATGTCGCCTTTCGAGTGACATACTCTGGGGGATCACATATGCTTTCCCTTTAAGTTCTCTCTTTAGACCCCAAGCCGCTTCTTCCGCAATTGCCGACTTTTAAAGAATTAGCATCATCGAAGGTTGCGGCGAGTGATCGACACAAAAGACTGATCGCTACGGGGCTGACGGCGAGTGTAGCAGCGAAGGGGGACAGGTTTTGTTGACTTCCACGTATTCCCCTGAGACGCTGTCATTGCAGTTCCCGTAACCGCCACGCGCGGTGGCAGATCGGCAAATAATTAGTTTTTTGCTTTGCGATTACGCAGCGGAATAGCAGTTTTTCGAGGCAATGTGACCTGGCTTTTTGTCACCTTGGCTTGGATAAACAATATAAAAATTGCAAACTGTCAATTCTTTCAACATTAAAATAGTTGCTACCCCTTTAAGTACTCCGAAGTTTTATCTGAAGGTGGCGAACAAATGCCTTGTGTGCAAGTGCTGCCGACGAAGTTTTTCCGAGGACCCTAATCCTGTCAGGAGTCGCCTAGCTGAGCGAGCATGTAAAATCTGTTCGACATCTACGGCCGAAAAAGCCGCGGGCAGAGCTAGATATATACTATTCATGTCAAATATAGCGTCAAATATCTTCCGTTCGCCACTTCTTAAACTTCGGTTGCGAGAATGGCTACCCGGTCACAAGTTTGACATACGCTTTGAAAGATACTAATGTATCTCAATTAGAAGTACTATTTAAGTTAATGCTTCCTATGCGGAGCGAAAGTTTGTCTGCTTTTTGCGCAGGGGTTGTGACATCAGAAAGACGCTGAGCTCTGATTAGTTCTGAATGAAGGATAGTGGGTAGACCTCATGGCAGCTTTTTGCTTTGAGGCAACGTTGCTTTGAGGTCTTCCCACTATCCTTCCAATCGGAGCTCGGCATCTTTGTGACGCCACCACAAGCCCTGCAAAGGAAGCAGACGAACTTGCGCTTCGCATTTAATTCTTCCAGTATCACCAGCTCGGGTGCCACTTTCAAAGTCGGTCACCAGGCTTACGCTCACGAATTTTGTCCGATAAACATAGATGTTTCTCTGGCATTGAAATTAGGGACCGAAAAACACCGACTCAGCAATGTCTTGTCTCGTGAAAATATGAATCGTTTTGGTTTCATTTTCTCTGTTTGGACTGTGGATCGCTGTTGAACTTTCACATCGGAGCTTTATGAAACTTCCCTACTTTTGCGACATCGAGATCGTGGTTCTGTTCTGAGAGGAAGAAAGTAAATGAAGGTTGTGGTGAGTGTGGAGCATTATCCTGGAGTAAATCGCGCGGCTAAGTTTAGCGAGTTCCTGCAGCTTTAACAGACAACCATGGGCACATGGCTAGCTCTATCAAAGATGGCTGCCTGACGAGGTTCGTGATCTTTAGTTGGTTCAGCTCGCCTTCGTTATGCGATGTATATGTCAACATAGTTCCTCTAGAGACGGGTGACCGTAGTCAACCCAATACACACTGAAAACAACAAGGCGTTCTTGGTAAGTGGCACTTGTGCCAGAGCTACGCTGCCTGACAAACTTCACTGCTCGGGCTGACTCAGGGGGGCTATGTTGCGCTTTTTGGACTCCCAGGAGACTTGGAAGAGGGAAGTGACGTCAACGATTAGAGCAAACGCAGATTGGGTGTTGATTTCGTTTTCTTCTGTCAACATCCAATCTGCATTTGCGGTGTCGTTGACGTCACTTCCCTCTTCCAAGTCTCCTGGGAGTGCAAAAAGCGCAACATAGCACCCCTGGTTTCGACTAATGACAAACATCATTGCGTCCTTGTTTTTACATAAGACGAACCTAACTCGTTGGTTAAAAAGAAAATATAATCTCGGAATTGCAGTTAATGGACGTCATAGCCCGAATCCTGCTTGTCGGACAGCTGCAACATAGAATCGATATCCGTTGGTTGACATTTTTAACTCTTGGGTGACTCAGCGTAGCCACCAAAAGGACGAAGCGAAGTTTTCACGGCCTCAGCATTGATTACCTTGCGTTCCACATGCTTCGCAGTCGTTTCGAAATGCCGTACTACGTGAGCGACGTGAACCCGGACTACACGGCCGCCTTGGGACTCTTCCAGCATCTGAACACCGAAGAGCTGCAGAAGCTGTTGAATGACGACAGTCGCGTGGAAAGCATGGTCAAAGACCTGCAACAGGTAGGTGTGCCCACGGAACCTTCCTCTTTCTGCCTCAATAAGAAGAATTGGGCGTGGCATTGAAGACTCAATACTAAGGAAACAATATAAAACCGGAAGGACACACAATGTCGAAGCCTCCAGTAAAGTCCGACAATTTTGTTTTTATCGCAACGACAATTTTGTTTTTATCGCAAAGCCATAAAACGCTGAAGAGGACGAATCGTCAGTACTTGTTAGACCCAGGTATTATTTGTTTTGCTTGAAACTGGTGACGGAAAGAAGAGTGAATTACTATAAGTGAAACACAAAATGAAGTGCAAATCAGAAGAGACTAACAATATTGGGGAGGGTGTGGAACCGTCAGGCCCCTAGGGACTAGGTTGGGAACTGCCCCCGCGGTCACAATAGCATTAATTATTTGTTTGTGTTACTGACGCAGTCCTCGGCTGGGGTAGCCGAGCGCATGAGTGTTAGGCTGGAATGCATGTGCAGTCGGTGAAGCAGCGATTGAACACGAGCCCGAACCGGACGTTGATGCAGGACTCATGTTCAATCTGCTCTATGCTCGACTGAGGTAGAAGACTTGGAAAATCTCGCCCGTAGGCTTGGCGTTGGGTAAACACTGAGCTGAAAAAAGAAGCGGGCTAAAGCGCCCCATCCAGTTTGGTCTCTTTGCCAGTAGCATGGCTGGCAAGTGTCTAAAAGCAAATGCTGGCGAGCCACACTGTTGCCCAATTTTATTTGCCTTTGACGACTTAAAAAAAAGAAATAAAAAGCTTGGCTTAATGTTTGTCTATAGAAGAAAAAACATTAGTATTTTTTTTTTTTACTGCAGTGAGCTCACATTTTTGCATTTGCAGATAGTAAATGTACCACCTATGGGAACCGTGGTCCATTGAAAAAAAGAAACTGTTTTTTTTGTTTTGCGTTCGAAAGGCAAGTGTGCCACGAGGTCTGTCCCTGTTGGAATCAGTTCAGTTTCCCCGATCAAAGAAGCACGGTTGATTCGCGGTTGTGCAGGTGAAGAATGCCGAGAGCGAGCGCGAGATGCTGCTGGCTAGCAACAAGAGCCTGGCAGACTTCAACCTGTCGAGGGAGCCCAAGATGCGCCAGTCGCGCCAGCAGATTAAGGAGCTCTACGAGCAGGCCCAGGAGCTCATGCAGGAGGTGGAGCAGAGGAAGAAGACCCTCGGTGAGACTGCCTAGTGACCGGCAACGCTGGAACTCAAATTGCTGAATGACGTCATTGAAGCAATTGCTCTTCTTGCTTATTTCATGCTAATGACTAGTGATTACATAACGGCAAAAATTGTCACCATGGTCACTTGCAGAGTGAGAATGATGCGGCGCGTCTTCCGAATGCCCTGCCTCCAGCACACGCTCCGTGCATGTTCGCACTCGAGGTGCGCAATACATTGCAGTCTTACCGAAGATAGGGAGATTGCGCGCTGGAGGGGCGGGACGTACGAAGCTCCTCCCCGACGTCTTCACCTTGGTAGTGACCATAGTGCACATTATTTAGTATGAGCTTCTTAGTATAGAATGAATGCTTAAAAAACGAAGCTCACAACACATTCTGCAGTAACTCGCTGTTCCTATTGATGAGGTGGGTTAAAATAAACATGGCGTCTTTCTCTGTTTGGAGGTGCATGAACAATATTTCTGTACCGTGGGAGGCCTTCCGTGCAAAGGGTATGTTGAGTTTTGTTTGTAGGTTACACCGTGAATAAATACTTCCATAGTTTTTAGACAATATATGGTCTTCTGGTTTAATTGTGTCATATATATGCTTAGACAGCAAGAAGTGTAGTTTATTGGATAGAGTACAGAAGGTACCAATTTAAGTCATTGCAGGCAAAGAAACTAACGAATGGAGTTGTGGGTCTCTTTGGCAGGTGCACTCCGGTTATTGAAGTTGGGGCTCTGAAGTGTTTTGCAATCAATGCTTTCTAGATTCCATGGGAGGACAGTCATCCTTGGAAACCATGCTGGCCCTTCTCCAGACGTCGGCTGCACAATCCGAAGAAGATTCTGAGGTAACTGGGCACATGTACCTGGCACTCATTACCTCGTTTTTATGGCTGGGTCTCTCCGATAGCAGATGAAACACTGTTAATGCGAAAGCATTAACTGTCCCATTGAGCGACACCGGTATTGGCTGTAACGGTCTGTAGCAGAAGAACGACACCTCAATTTGCATTCCCAATAAAACACAAACAAAAGCACAGCAACGCAGATGCCTCGTCACGGAAGCCCGCGGGTGTGCTCAAGGTCAAAGCGGACGCGCTTCAGAAATAAGACGCAAAGAAAAGCACCGCAATGCAATGCTTCGTCATGGAAGCCATCGTGAAGCCGGCAAGGTTCGCCGCGCCTGTGCAGTGGGGGAGTGTGATGCCACCGCCGCAGCGCCATGTGCGATAGGAAGACGTGATACACAGCTTGTAGGAATGCGCTGCATTTAGAAATGTGAAAACATTCTTACATGTAGGAATGCTTTCACATTTCTACACGCAGCTCATTGCTACAAGTAAGCCTGTACAAGTCTGCCGAATTTTTTTTCATGCTTGATTTGTTTGCTTATTTATCCAACATGAGTAAACAGAACAAAGTTGTTCAATATGCGTACAATCATGTGCTTCTGACAAGATGCGGCAAGTTCTGGGGCATCGAGTATTATTCGTTGTGGCTCCCGATTTCCTGCGAGTTCCGAATGGCAACGACATACCCCTCTCTCTTGAATGAGGAAGCCACGCACAAATGACGGAGCTGTGTCTCTTAATGTTTAGCCGCACGAACAGCACTTTGGGCACCATTTTACAGCATTATTACTGCTGCAAAGGGTACTCAACTCAGCTTCATGGTGCACATTCCGCATGCTACTAAATCATACCGCATTTGGTGTTGACTCCTTCATTGCAGAAAATAGCGTCGAGCTTCCTGGAGGGGGAGACAACGGTGGAGTCGTTTCTGGAGCAGTTTGCGGACGCCCGCAAGCTGGCGCACCTGCGCCGCGTCAAGGTGGACAAGATGACGGAGCTGCTGACCAATCGCAGCCGGAACCCGTCCCGGCTGCCCGGCGGGGCCCCACCCCCCCTGCCCAGTCGCCCCGCCCCCCCGGCACCTGCCCCCATGCCCTCCTATCCGCCGGCCGGGGCCGCCCCTTACCCCGTGGCCCACTTTGCGATGCCCATGCCCTGGCAGTAGCCCTCTTTGTGTTTGTTCGTCGATTACGAGGCCGGACTTTGTTAGCGGTGCCTGTTTTGGTGTGAATTCACAAAGGGAAGGTTCGGTATAAATGAGGGAATTAAGTTGATTGTTTTTAAGGAGGGTTTCTCTCGTTAGGGTTGTGCTGTGCTTCCCCGCGTTTTGAGCCAAAGCGCTAACACAACGACCCCGCTCCAGCCCCAGATGGTGGAGCAACTATAGTCGCTGACAGGATCAGAATGGCTTGGCTTGGCTTCCTAACCTTAAGTAAGGAAGCTAAGAAGTTAGTGAACTTCGAACATTCACGTACAGCCGGTGCACGGCGTAGGGCAACAAGCGAACGCTGGAGGCTGGGTGTCAGAGAAAGGTGCTGTGGCGTTTCCATCTTTTCGGTGATTATAGCGCGTATGCCGGGAAAGTCTACAATTAGGTTGTTCGGTTAACGCAGCGTTTGGTACCTTTTGATGTTGTGGGAAAATGTGTGTCCATCTCTGCATAACTCTGCGTTTGAACTCTGCGCTTGTTTGTGTGCTGGCTCCAATGGCAGTCTGACAGTTTATATTCTGGAAAAGTGGGCAAGGATTTGCTGTGCAATCTGACCCATGGGTTTGATGCAAGTTTTCTGGGAGCAATAGGGAAGGTCATTCAGGGTGTGACTGGAGAGTTTTTGATGGGTTTATTGTATGAGTAATAAAACTTTCTGTAATGCACGTGCACTGGTAGATTGTTTTGAATGAATCTATTAGTATCCGCATTTTAGGTAGGAATGCATTACGATAAAAAGGGCACACTTTAAGGTGGAATACTAACTAGCATGTGAATGGTACAGCACCTTAGAAGTGATACGGGTTCTTTATGAGCTATACAAGGTGTGCCTAAGTTGTGGGAAATGTGGTATTTTGTGGAGGGGCATTTTGCTTTATGTATGTCAATGTGTCTGAGGACTCGCATTGCCAAAGGCTCCAGAGGTGTTCTGCCTGCACTGTCTTTAAGAGGAAGCATCACTGACCAGATAAGAGGTCGACTCTGCATTGATTCATTACTATACTGTTTAAAGGCATTTTGATTTGCCTTTCATTTCAACGTGGCCCACAGGGACTTGCTTGTGCAGTATATTCTCGAACTGATAAAAGTGAACCTGGGCTACCTTTTTGTCAAATGGAGCATTTGGAAATGAATAAAGCAGTGAAAATGGACTCTTGCTGTTGCTATGAGTGACACTCATGTCAGGTGGTGATGAGTCTATTGTGTGTTTGGTTGAACTTGTGTTACTTGGTGGGAGATGCCTGGGAATCGGTGGGAACATAGAGTCATATTGACATTCTATGGAAGGCCTTGTTGCTCGCATATGATGGCAAAACCAGTAGTTTAATGGGGGTTTCTCAACCACCTTGGTAGGTTGTGGAAGGGTAGAGTTCCAGCATTCATTGAGACGTGCCATTCCTGAAAACATTTGGAATTTCGCATTGTTAAATCGCCATATTTGGAGCATCTAAAGAGTTAGCTGTGAATCTGAGGTTATGGTTGGTAGCAGTGTTGTTTGCGTTCCTCACAAAGAGGAACGAATGCCCGTTCCTCGTTCCTTCTGATTTTTGGAACGCGTTCCCGTTACGAGTTCCACATGTGAAAAAGAAACTCATTCCCGTAACAGTTAAAAAAATGGATCGTATTGTTACATATACGTTACATGTGCGTTTTGCTGATTACCATATTTAGTTAGATCAAACAAACATTTCTTTTTCATCTATCCCATTAAATGCAACATATGAATCAATGCATTGATGGAAGGGCACCAGGAGAAGTAGACAAGTGAAAGCAGGGTTTCATTTGTGTATATATTCACCTTTAGAAATTTCCGCTTTTAACCATTTTTTTTGGTGGGCGATTCAAACAAGCCAAATGTACTGTTACCCGACATTGCAAGAGCATTTGCAACAACCTCGCATCTAACAATCTATCAAAGAACCTTGTTCGAACTTAACAACAGTTGCTTCTCGGTGTTGCTGTCCACAAGACGAGCGAGTGAAGAAAAGGTTGGGCCTTTTGGAAGGTCAGTTTTGAAAACTACAAGTCCTTCGTGAAGGTTGGATTCATTTTCAGTTTGAAGGTGGGGGACAAGGGGAGAAGTAATAAAGATTAATTTTGGTGTATCTATTAAGTGACCAATATTCGTATACAAGGGTGATTTCGATGTCGGGTAATCTGTTCTTTTGTGTCTAACTGTAGGTCTCTTTGTGGCAGTTTAGTGATGGCTGTCGAGCTTAGATTTCTGGGTGTGTGAGGATTTGTGGATGCAAAGAAAGTTGCAGAGTTTGAAATTGCCCTCTTCTGTGGCTTTCCCTTCGGCTAAAAGTTTTGCTTTTTGTACCGGAGTCTCAGGCACTACGAAAAGAATCGATGTCCACTAGCTCTCCTGCACCCGTTTGTTACCGAGCGAGGGCCACACAAAATAAACCCTAAGATTAGTAACCAAAAATTTATGGAGACCCTGCTCTTCGTAAATATATTGTTTATACTTTTAAAATTTTCCTCTTAAAAATAAAATAAAAATTATTCTGCTGTAAGAAAGAATGCCGTTCCCTTTTCCGTTCCAGTAAAAATGTAACAAGTTCTCGTTCCAGTTCCACCAATGCAAAATGTAACGGCGGAGTTCCCTCGTTCCTCTTAAAAGGAACGCGTTCCAGGAACACCGTTCCTTGGAACGCCGTTCCGTAGAACACTGATTGGTAGTTCCACCGGAAACCAAAAACGGCAAAAAAAAAAAAAAAAAAGAAAAAAACGGACAAAACAACAAGTCTTAATTAAACACAGCTTCTGTGTTTGAGACGTTGTTTTGTTCGTTTTTTTTTTTTTGGCTTGCCTTAGGTTTACGATGGAAGTTATTCACCAGCTCGCCTGTGCTTTTACCCTTTCTTCTATGGTTGGTAGGTTTGCATAGATCTTTTTTACTACTTGGGACCTACCAAGGAGGTTATCCAAGGAGGTTATAAGTACTAGGAGGGGGCACGTTGCTTAGTCATAAAAAGTTTTAACGATATTGTACCCAACGTGACCGCAGATCTCTCTGGCGATTGGTGCGCGTGACGCGTCACTTGCGAGATGGATGGTTGATTGTAGGATTCCTTGCAGGCTTGCGCGCGCTCCGTTTGGTATAGGTTTTATCAGATCGAAGGCTAGACCAAGGCTGGCTACGGTCACGTGTAGGGCTGATAAGTGAAGAGAGTAAGGAGGAAAATGGAGAAAGAGACGAGGCGTCAAGGGAGCATGGCTTGTGGAGGCTACGCGGTCATGCCCTCTCCTACCCTTCTATCAATTGGGACCTACAGTGGTGGTTGAACCAGTTACTGTGTCCGTTTCCAAGTGTAGTGGGAAGTGCTTCGCAGGGACATATTGTTTGCAATGAAGGAGTGGGGCCAACGTTTGAGTTGGGCTTTTAAATATTTCTCAGGGTTTGTCTATTATGTATAAGTTTCGAAACTGGTAACTAACAATGCAACCCACTGGTCAGAAAACGGGTTAGGCATGAACAACATTTGTATTCATTTTCAATCGAATTGACAAGCTGGTTCAGACCCGCATGAACTTAACTGCAAAAATAGTCCAAAAGCTGGGAGATGTCATTATTAAAATAAGGACACTGTCTCGTTTTGCAACAGCAAACAAAACAAAAATAACGACAAAACCCCAGAAAAAAAAAAAAAAAAAAAGTGGAGGTGCCGGGGATCGAACCCGGGGCCTTTCACATGCAAAGCGAACGCTCTACCACTGAGCTACACCCCCAGATGGAAGGAGGTTCTTAAAATCAGGGGGACTTCAATACGCCCATTCATGTGCGTATTGAATGGGCGTATTGAAAGGTTCCACCGGCTCCACCCAAAAGTGCAGACCGTCGTGAACCCTTCCGAAAAGGTTCTAATTGCGGGCTTGCGACGAAAGGTAAGAAGTCAAAGTTGTTAAGCCACGCCCCAGCTGGGGCTAAAGCGTAAACAACTCGCTGCTGCGTTTAATCCTGAAAGTTCGTACTCCGCATCATGGCATTCAAACTCAGAAGTTCGAAGTCGGTGCGCTAACTTCGACGCTCCAAGTTTCATCATCCGAGCGCATGTGGAGCGGCATACTGTGAAGTAAAAGAGACGGCTACGTTATGAAGTTTCTACGAACGCTTTAATATTCCTGAAAAGTGTGAAGACTGGATTCGAGCACATATGTGTAAAGTTACCCTGGCCGATCTATTTATTGACCATGCATGCTGTTCAGATATAAATTAAAAGCAACA